GGTTATTGCTGGGGTGTCGGAGGGGTTTTGCTCGTGAGGCTTCAGGCAGGCTGCTGAAGCGCTCTGTGGGACTGGTTTATGGCCTGTTTGGAGAGGTCACCAGTCTGGGGGCTGTAAGGAGCCCCAGATTTGAGCAATTTGCCCTGAGAGGACGCCCTCAGCTGTGCCCAGACACAGCCCGGTCCGTCACACCATCCCTGACAAATTTTTGCCCCATCTCCCTAAATGGCCTCTGCAAGGATTGAACTCACAACTCTGGGTTTAGCAGGCTAATGGTCAAACCACTGAGCTATCCCTCCCCCAATGGAGGTGAGTAAGACCTTCGGTTTAACAGAGATGGAGATGCCAAAAAACGGTGATGCCAAGAGTAGTGGGTCACTCTGTGCCCGTGGTCCCCTGGCGGAGTTAAGAAGGGCGATGGCAGGTGTTCCGTAGAAGGGAACCTCCTTGATGGTGACCTCCTTGGTGGGGGAGATGAGGAGGGTTCAGGAGAGAACACTGGGGACGGGGAGCCCGGTTTGGAGCTGACGCTCGATCTGCTGTGCAAAGTGGCAGGCAGAGAGCGAGTTGGAGACAGCTTGGTCTTTTTAGGAGGCACAGCAATAGGAGAAGAAGCCCTGCGCTTTTGCGGCTCCGGTGAGGGCTGTGCCATGAAGGCGAGGTCCTGAGGCTGCAAAGCTTTATCGAAAAGCATCATCCTAAGCCTCATTTCCCTATCGTGTCTAGCTCTTGAAGTGAGCGTGGAGCAGTGGGGGCATCTTAATGGGACATGCACCTCCCCTAAATATCGAATGCAGGAGGAGTGACCGTCGGAGGCAGGCATGGCCTCTCGGCAAACCTCACATTTTTTAAACCCTGGGGAGCCGGGCATTGTTGTATTCAATCAGTTGTGCAGTTAAGAACAAAAAACAGATTCTTTTTCTTCTTCTTTTTTTTTTTTTAACAGGGAAGATTCAACTGGGAGAAAAATTCCAACTAGAACTTAAGGTAAGAACAAGAACTATAGTACTTAAACTGAAGAGTTATGAAGAAAAAAACTACTTTTTTTTTAAGAGTAAAAGGACTCGAACGGGGGAAATAAGGAAGAGAGAGAGATCAAGTTTTAACTATCAACAAGCCTGAATTCGTCTTTTTGAAAAGAACCAGGGAGAAGCTTGTTGTTCCATCTGCAGCCTGAGGCAGTTAAAGAGGAACTGGCTCAGACCAGACTAAGCAGCGCGAAAGGGCGCGAAAGCCACGAGACGCTCCCCGCGCATGCGCGGTCCGGCCGGACTACTGATGCAAAAATCTCCATCCTGCGGCGCCGGGGCAAGCCCAGCACCTACAGTGGAGCACCTACGGGGACTCCTCGAAGAAGAATGTTATTTTGGGATAACAGACATTATCCCAAAATAGCACCACTTTGTAAATGTACCCTAAGACATTTGCCATACCAGCCAGTTCCGACAATCTCACTTGAACTCGCAATGCTTTGATCTGCAACAGATCCTTTGGTTGATTCAAACAGAAGAAGAAACCTGCACATGTTAATGCCAAGAACAAGACAGCCAAAGAGATAAAAATAAGCTTACTCCATTTTAATCAACTCTTCCTTATTTAATTCTCTGTATCAGTAGCTATTCATTCAATAGCTGCATACGTTTGACTTTTCAAAGGAAATGTATCGTGGTGATTAAAAGGGACATTATCAAAGTGTGGGATTGCCAACACCCCCAGTTTCGTCATGAGTCTCCTGAAATCAGGCTCTATCTCCTGTAGGCTATTGAAGCCAAACTGGGAAATTTTAGGCCACTAAAAGTCCATCAGCACAGCAGGTCTCAGGCAGGCTCCCTACCTACCCAGGCTCTGCACCCTTCCCAGAAGTAGCTGGCATATCCCTGCAGCTCCAGGGGGTGGGCGTAAAGGGTTGGAGGTCTCCTCAAGCTGCCCCTGCTCTGAGAGCTAACTACACTACTTCTGTTTGCTGGGAGCCTGACTTAATCCCACTGCACTGTTGACCAGGAACCACCTGAAGTGAGCACCATCCAGTACCACCTCAACCCCTTCCTCCACCCCACCTCCTATCCCAGCTCTCAGCCCCCTGCCAGAGCTAAGCCCCAAACTGCCTCCCATATCCTAGTACCTTGCCCTAGCCCTTGAACCCGCACCTGCTCC